AGAGAGAGAGAGAGAGAGAGAGAGAGAGAGAGAGAGAGAGAGAGAGAGAGAGAGAGAGAAAGAGGACCAGGAGGAGGAGGACGGCAGGGAAGAAGTGATAGATGTCGAGGGCATCAAGAAATCTGACCCGGTGGAAAGAGAGGAGGAGGACAGAGAGGAAGAGGAAAAGGGTGAGGAGGAGGAAGACGGCAACGACAAGGAGGAGGAGGAAAACAACTGCAACGAAGAAGAGGAGGAGGAGGAGGGAGGACATGAAACAGACGAAGAAAAAGAAGAGAAACGACAATGGTTGTCTTCCGCTTTTTCTTCTTCCTCCTCCTGTTCTTCTTTTTCATCTTCTTCAGCTTCTTCTTCTTCTTCGTCCTCCTCTTCTTCTCCTTCCTCTTCTTCTTCTCCCTCGTCATCCATAGCGCCCGCCATAGGCAAGATGCTTTGTGCTCATCCTAACCTCGCTGCCCTGTCCTCATCCTAACCGTACCTGCACAGTGCAAGGGGCGCCTTTGCATGAAGGCATCTGAAAGTCGAAGGCCGCAGGAGCTATGGCGCCAACAGGCAGCGAAAACGTTCCTTTTGTTTTGAAAAAAAAAAATAAAGGTTGTTCGAGGGGGTGGGGGGTAAATGAAATGCTCGGGTTTGACGGGTTCGGCCGATCGGCGCCCTGCGACATGGTAGGGCCGCCGTCGCCCTTCCATGCCCCCACCGCCCCCGGGGCCACCGGTTATATTTCTTTTTTCCTTTGTTTTTTTTTTTCTTCTTCTTCTTCTTCTTTTTCTTATTCTTCTTCTCCTTTCTGTCTTTCTTTGTTTCTTGTTTTGTTCCTTTCATTCATTCTTTCTTTGTTATGAAACTTTTTGTCGTTTTTTTTTTTTAAACAAAAATATAACTTGTGGCCCGAGGTTTGATTGTTTTTTCTTTTTTCCCTTTTCTTTTCGATGGATCTGAAGGCAAACACGGAAGTCGCTTCAGATCCGTGCAACCATACACAGAAGAAGGGGGCAGGAGAGACGACGGAGGTGACACGGAGGTGACAAGGAGGTCACATGGATCTGGGGCTAGTCACCAATGTCATCACACAGAATCCCTGATGTTACCGGTGTCGGGTCAGAACACCGCCGGTACTAATCCCTAAATCCTGACGTTATACGATATCGTAAGTCGTCAAATCGTACACTGTCACCAATAGATCAACCAATGATCTCTCTCCTCTGAAGTCGAAGTAGAAGTCCTCTCAAGTCGAAGTCCTCTGAAGTCGAAGTCAGAAGAAGAAGAAGGAGAAGAAGAAGAAGAAGAAGAAGAAGAAGAAGAGAG